GATCCGCGAAAGTACATCACGGGTGAATCGATCGTTGAGTTCGATCGCCCTGTTCGCCTCTCTCTCTTTCTCTTTCACGTGCCTTCCCCTGAGCCGCTGCCACATCGATCTCGGTTGATGAAAATCGAGTATCAAGGCACGATGTTGCAGGTTTGATTCCTGATCGGCGGAGATGCCTGGCGTTGGAGGGATGGAATGAGAGCGGGGAACGGAGGAGAGAGAGAAGTAGTGTCGTTGGCATGAGTCGCACGTGTGTGCGTAGCCGGCGGCGCTCGGCCGTTTCGGGACAAGTTGTAAGGTGATGTACTGTCTCCTGTGCGTTAATTCGCATGGAACGGACTTAGCCCGGACTCGGCCGACGCACACGTCAAACGCCGTATATACATTGTTGTTGTAATAAAGTGTAAAATATCTGAACTGATGAGTTTATTTGGGCAACCTGTCTCTCTTGTAACTAGTTAAACTGCGATTATCGATATTGCTGGACGACATAGCCTTCGTTAATTTTCTGCGACGAAGCGAGTACGCCTTCCGAGCCTTCCCCCTTAAATAATTTATGACGCAACGTTGTTCGGGCTTAAATTATTAACGTACGTGTTACAAGTATGTCTTTCCACAATTCATTAACTATTAAAGGGATCAGCTAGTGCTCTACAAAAAAGATTAAAATTCTCTTTATTTGCGTATAAAAATCGTTATAATTATAATATCGACATGAAATTTATTTCATTCTAAAGCACTCAGCATAAACTTTCATTTTTATTATTCTAATGTACTTAATTCATAATTAGGAGTCCTAGAAAGTCTACTTAACCGTAAACTTTTTATTTTCGAACAATACTGCTATACAATCTTTTAGCAATAAAATAAGTGAAAATGATTTTGAGAGAAATCATTTTCTTCATTAACATCTCTACTCTAACTTCAGCAATGCACTTTTTTCAATGGAATCCTTCAGCTGGCTTCCAACATCCCTCCACTGTTAATATTTGGAGAGGATTAATTGGTGATAGATTCATTAGTTCATTCGAACTTCTGAAAGACGAAAATAATTTGAAGTTTTTACAAAATGATCTCTAGGGCTTATTGAAAGACCATTTAGCGTAGAAGCTGCAGGAACATGATTTTTATGCATGATGGAACATCATCACATTTGCTGTTAAATGTCCGAAATTACCTAGATCAAGTAAGATTTCGTGAAATTCATATAATACCCACAAAGACACACACACACAAATATGAAATATATACACAAGCAAAGACACACATACTCGTACGCATACACACACACATACGTAATGCATACATACACGCACGAGTAAACGAACACACACACGCACGGAATTTTCACACTCACACACACACAGATGCGCGCATCTATAGATACCCACACGGATATAAAAAGCGTATATTTACTCTTACACACATAAACTCTCGCATACTATTTTCACATATATGCGCACGTATAAATATACTAAACATGGGAATTTTATATTTATCGTGGACACTGGATTGTTCATAATGTCCCAATCGAATGGCCTAAAAGATCACTGGACTGTAAACCCTGGAACTTCTTTTTATAAGAATTGTTTGAAGATCAAGTATATCGGTGACGAAAAGGTGACGATAACAGTAACAATCTCGGTGATGACAATAGTAACAATGACGATGGTGCCGATCCTGACTGGAAAAATTAATGATTGAAAGTATGTGTATGCGTGTGCGCGCGTATTGTTTAGTTTATATTGGTTTGTTCTCTGTTTATCGTTCTATTTATATTACTGTAGATATTATTTAGTTTAGAAAAAAAATGTTTGGAATAAAAAAATTGCTTTTCTTTTGCACCACAAGACATCGTGAAAAAGTCGTAGAAAAGTCCTGGAAAACTTATGTAAAAGTCGTAAAAATGTTGTAAAAGTCATAAAAACGTAGAAAAATCGTAAAAAGGTTGTAAAAAGTCATAGAAATGTAAAAAAGTCGTGGAAAAGTCGTCCAAATAACCCTCGTCATTTAAATAAATAGCTCAATCATACACATACAGACCGTTGTTATCAAGTGTAAGTGAGTGCGTGGCTGTCTCCGAGCTTGTAAGCATATGTGTCCTACGCGTTATACGCGTGTATATTTGTATTTACTTACCGTTCGATGCCACAAGATCGACGTCCAGCCATTTTCGCCCGAATTTGGCTTCGTACCTCTCATCTATGGTAAGTGTCTTACATTTTTTGACGCCAGAACACTATACGAGTACTGTACCAGATCATATAATTTCCACAGCACCAAGAAGAACATGTCAATGCAATCGAATGCAGTATATTAACCATCAGTCTTCGTTTTGACAATTAGGTTCGATAAATAATGTGAAGTTACCGTTGCTTGCAATTTGTTAGTCTTTTATACTGAATTCGAAATTTCATTAATGTTTCTATTAATTTCGTGTTTACTCATTATACTAGATTGATATTTATTTTACTTGGCTCTTTTCCTTATTGTAAACTCAAGTGGATTCTTTTCTAATAGAAATTTCCGTACACCAACGTTACTTACAAACGAATAAAGTATAAATGCAATTTCATACTATTTTCATATTGCTAGTAAAATATGATCTTAATGATCTTTATCTGTAGATTTGATTGACGAAATTAATTTTTCAGAAGCCATTATATTTTTAATTCTGTGTGTGTGTTTATAAAGAGTTTATAATAAGAAATTAAATTGTTAAATTTGTTAAAAACGCTGAAAAATGCTTATATTTCCAAGTTACTTAGTAACATCAATTGTTTGAACCTATCTTAGAACCTCTTAGAACCTCTCTCGGAATATTTTGACAAGTTAATTTTATGTTGTTGATGGTTGAGTATTAGATCCGAATATTCGCATACTCATCTACTCTAGTATACTAGTACTCCGTTATGCTGAAACATACGGGTTGCAGTTTTCAATGCAATGTTTCAATGCGTGTTACGTCTTGTTTTTATGTTATTTTATAAGGAGATAATTCGCGTGTCCGCGCGAATAGAGAAGATTTATGGAATAATAATCATTTGACAGTATGAAATAGCAATATTCAATAGCGTGGAAGCAATAAAGTTAGCAAAAATGCCGTATATCAAATCAATTAATAATAAAAATGTAACTTCAGATAATGAGAAATGTTAACTCTCCGTACCTATACTTATCAATGTGTTAGATAAAGTCCGTTAGTTGGATTTATTATTTTTCTTTTTGTTTTGTTGTTTGGCTGACTGATATTACCTTTATTAGTGACTGAGCCTCGGCTTCATTGTTTTTTATGTTGTGGATTTCATGTGATTCCTTCTATATGCGGCAACGATTGCACGAATGTGCCATTTTTAGCCAATCATACTTAGCATACGTTCGTCGAGAGATTAGGAGAATAAACGTCAATTATAAAATAATTAAAATACGTGGAACTACCGGTTGCACTTGTGTGGTTAGATATTTATTTCTCAAAAAAAGAAAAAAAAAACAGAATAACAGAAAGATAGATTTAGAACTAAGCGGTATTCAATACTTATCAAAAAAGAGTTGTATTACTTGGTCGTGATTTTCGAGCTAGACTGACTATCGTTGAAAAAATACACTGCGAAAGCCCTAATTTTCCCACCTTGGCTTATCGCGAGTTAAGAAAATTTGATATTTGGCACTTGGAGGTAGGGCATTCCACTCTTGCTGACTTTCGTGTAAACGGTTTCATTTTACCTTTAGCACGCACTCGCGAATCAGATGTTAATTTTGCATTATTAACTAATTTCGCATGCCTTTGCCGCTGGACTTAGTAAGAAGACTTTTTTAAGAGCTATTCCACAGAGTCAGCAACAAAGATATACGAATTTATGGTCTCCTTATGACGACCTTGCCTATGTAAGCCTTATCGAGACGTAACACACAATTATCAATTGCTTTGTCATATTGCTTTGTCACTAAATAAAACATAGCGGAAGAAATCAAGATCCAGTCGTAATATCTCTTGTGCCCTTCTGCAAAATACTATTCTTCGTCGGAATTTATCCATCGTTAATTGTTCCGTTAACGTGATTCGCTATGGATGAAAGTTATGGAGAGAAAATATTTTTTGAGCAGAAGATTTAGAGATATCTAATTCTCTCTCAATTTATTGTAAACTAGCTTGCGAATTCATACTTACGTACATTTAAGCACATTCACTTTATGCCGTCTTCTATTTGAAGGGATCTGTCGTTGACGAATTAAAATTCTTACAATCTGATGATCATTTGGATGTCTCTTCTGTGGAAAACTTTAACGATATAAATTTACTGCTCGAGAGTAGTTGCTTACGACATCAACTTTTCGAGATATTTAGATCGGTTGTTTGAGATAATGACATACCCTGTATGATTACCTGTGGTGTATTAGCTTTTATTCTTTAGATAGCTATTTCTTAATTAAACTAAGATATCGAAATTTCAAAAATTAAAATTGTTCAATATGAATTATTATAAGCTTGATGTCTTTTATGGTTTTATTGACTGTTTGGGTATGTTTTCGGTATATTTCATAAAAGCTACTGAGCAATTTGTCGCACGAAAATATTGCTATGAATTTTATAGCTCATTTGCCGAATAGAACGTATTAACCAACTATATAGCGATACTCGATATATAAATGTTTAAAATATAATAAATATAAATGCTTTTCAAGTATTTGCTAAAAATGTATTCAAAAAAATAGAAACATCAAATCTTTAATAAAAGTTACACCGTACATATGTACACATATGAATATCATTTAATATTGCACTAATAAATAGTATGACATACTCTATGATATATCATAACATCAAAGAGATTATATAATATGGAATAGCTGATTTTTTTATCAATTTTCGACATCACTGGTATTAATTACATTCAATCAATTTTATTTGAACGGATTGCGAAATAAGTGACACAAAAATATTGCATTAAAAATTTTAATATCATCACACATTATGGTTAAACAAATAGTAGTTGACTTACCTTTTGATTTTCATCAATTCTTCTTTAAGGCATAAATCTTTATTTTCTGGCAAACGACCAGAGAGACAAGCTTCATACATTCTTTTTCCTATTTTTTGCTGTATGTCATTAATTGTTCCTCTTAAAGATTTTGTAACCTGCAAATTGAATCAATACAATTTTGAAACTGTTTGTCATTAGTCTAATCAATATTTTATATGAATGTCAAAGAGGAATCGTAAAGATTTATTTTATTTATTATACTAGTTTCCATTTCTTATACTAGTAAATGAAAAAGACACAACTTGTTTTTTTAAAGATATATTATCCATAGTAAGATACCCCTATCTGTGAAATTTATTTTTCACTTCATTTACAAGAATAATCATGTTTCCTCAGTAGTTTTAATATTAATTTAAACAAATATTGCGATATTTTGTCAATAATTTATCGTATAGTATGATTAACAGCGAATCGAAACGCTGATGAGATTGCTCTCGCGTTATGTTTCTCACCTTTCTCATCTATTTATTGTATGTTTACATTCACTATGTAATTCTTTTTTTATTCCAGGCAGTCGACGCTATAGGTAAATGAAAGAGACACGCCGCGACGCGTTCGTGATGGCGAAACATGGGGTCATAATCATGTGTACGTTTTCACTGCAGGAGACAGGGGCTCGCTCCTTCCGTAATAGTTAGTACCAGCAAAAAGCCAATAATGTGAACATGTTTGGAGATAATTGTCGAGAATGAGAGGATCTCTGCGTCGTGTGAGCGATCGACAGCTTTCTTTTTTTTGTATATGCGCGCTGAGAAGTTGTTGTCGATCTGATTTCACAGACAAGTTTTGTCGACAGATTTTGTGCATACCGGTATTTTCTGCCAACTTCACCTTGACTGGCCTATTGCACTGACCCGTTTGTAAACACCGCGAATTACCTGTACAATTAAAGCTACTTTTGAGTACCAACGTTAATCTTTCTTTTTTGTACTTCGGCTTACTCTCTTGTTATTTAGTCGCTACAGTTATATAACTTCCTTCTTTTTTTATAACCTAATAATTACTTATTTATATTCGCTTGATTTGCTTGGTTCTTACTGATCTCCTTTTCCCAGCCTCCGCTCCACCGCAACACGCTACCTTCCACACTCCAGCACTGATGCTGAGCATACCGCTCCGCTTTAGCCACGAGGTCAAAAGGCTCATGCGGATTGCTGAGTTGTATTACACCAGAATTTTTCGAGTTTCCGACGAGGTTGGATTTGCTGTTTGACCTCTCCATTGACCGTTCTTTATTAAGTTATATGCTTACGAAAGTTCCAAAAATCCCTTTACAATATATCAAATATTAGTTTATAAAATCATATAAATATTTAATGTTTTATAATTTTACATTATATATTGCTTATAAAATTGTGCTAAAAAAGTCTTGTATTACATGATATTATCTAACACCAAAGATCTAAATCGTTTTCGCAAGTAGATGGAAAAGTTTTTTTTACATTGGTTTTCATTTTTAATTCATTACTATTCTATTTCCTTCAAATTAATTTTTTTAAACAGTATATCTGTTAACAATGTTATATCAAGCATAGAAACGTTTCGCATTAAGAATGATACCACCGTTTAATTATAGAAAATGGCGATCATTACTTTTAACTCTCAAAATTAACATAGCACTTGCCAAACTTAAGCAAAACTACTTATTTGATTTTTTGACTCACTTGAAGATAATTTTTCTCATACATCTTTTCTAAACGTTTTGTCTAGACTTATTTATGAAAAAATTTACTAACTAGTATATACACTATTGAATATTTTTCTTCAACGTCAAATTGTGTAATAGCGATTTCTATTTCTATTTTTTGAAAAAAAAATGACCTTTTCTCAATTTTTTTGATAACTTTTTTACAGTTTTGATTAGTATATAATTTAGCAATATTTTTACCTATACCATTTGATTTTTCATGGAATAATACAAAGGAAAATTCTTCCAGGTTCTTCATGCTTGCTACGCTTCCAGACTTCTATTACACAGGCTGACAAATTTCTGAACCAGAAACGAGATCTCGCGTAACCAAAAGATTTTAATGCGTTGATCCGAAAACCGATATGAGCGTAAACCCAACCCAACGCGTCAGGTTTTCGAGATATGCTATATTATAAATACGAAAAATACGATTTCTAGCTATATTCGTGATTAGCTACTAACACTAATAATTTTTTTTTTTTAATGGATAGCGCTTTTGAAGTAAAACTGTCATTCTACGAAATTCTATAACCAAATCTTGTACATCTGTTTGTTCCACTAAGATATCGAGGACTGAAATTTGAATATTTTCGAAATTTCACTAGTACTTCGAGAACCCGGTAAATTAAGATATGAAGTGATATAGTATATTTATGTTCTATGAGACGTAGATCCGATATTGAATATCAAAACTATTTAAAAATTTCAAATTTTCTAACCTCAATATACAAAAAAAATACTTATTCGTGAGAATAAGATATGAAGAGGAAAATATATTTATACATGAAGTTATATCGTATTTCCTCAAATCTTGGACCAGATATTCTTTAAGCATATAACGTCAGACCTCTGAATTTTAATGTTCTTAATCTCCGAACCCTGTAACTAGCGAGTCTATAACCACAATCTTCTAAATGCCTTAGAATCCTGTAACTAACCTTAACCTTAGAATCCTGTAACTAGCAAGTTTATAGTCCAAGATCTCTAGATCCCAGTTTTCTTAACTCCAGAACTCTGTAACTTGCAAATCTATAATCATACCCCTAAATCCCAATTACCTCCCTCCTCCCCAGACTCTGTATGTTATTTCGTTTGTGCATGCAAAAACTTTTTTTTTTCTTATGTAATCGTTAACTTTTCATATCATATCAAATGATCTTTGTAGGAACTTTCACTTATGGCTAGCTGGGTCATTATGTTATCTTTTCAAAGACCAATAGTAATCTACCATCACATTTTGATCTCATTGGCCTTGATAATACTGCTCTTTTTGTTAAAAGTCTTGATAAAAACCTTCCTCTATTTCTTCATTATAGGCTTCAACATTTTTTGGGAAATAGTACAAGTGAAATTTCAAGAAATGTATTTTTAGGCTCATCAAATATGTTAGCTACAAATGTTTCATATTTTAAATCTCGTGTATTTCCTAAGAAGTTTGTGACAACTTCTTTAAAACTACCTCAAGCATTCTTTTCCAACAATAGTCATAGTTGCAGTAAAGTCTGTCATAAGTTTCCTTATGTCGAATCCAATGTAACACTTTCGTTAATAATTTTGAATTCCGCCTAGGAAATAAGCCCGAACAACGTCGCGTCACAAATTATTTTAAGGGGGAAGGCTCGGAAGGCACATTCGCTTTGTCGCGGAAAATTAACGAGGGCTTCTGTCATCCGGTAGTATCGACAATCGCGATTACCTAATTACGAGAGAGACAGGTTTCGCAAATAAACTCATCATTTCAAATGGATTTACACTTTATTAAAAACAGCAATTACATACGGAATTTGACGTGTGCGTCGGCCAAGTCCGGGCTAGTCCGTTCTGTGCAAATTAACGCATAAGAAATAGAACCTCGCCTTACAACTATTCCGCGAATCCCCGCGAGTGCGATGCGAATTTACGCATGCAGCCACTCGTACGCGTCCGGCCGATACGATGCTCGGAGAGAGAGAAATCGAGGCGCGCACCGAGAAACGAAAAAGAGTACCTGACCTTAGGAGGGAGCGCTGCTGTGGAAGTCCACGTCTGCTGGGCCCACTATGCAGTCCTCCAACGGTGGATCTCTAGGTGGATGCAGCTGGTTTTCCTCTTTAATGCTGGTCACTCGATGGCAATCAACTATTCACACACTTGTTTTTGTCGCGAGACTCAACTAGCTCGGAATTCGTTGCTGGTCAAAGCCCTACTACTCCCGCGATCTCGCGCTTTCCGCGACGTCTTACGCTCCCCTCCCTATAGGTACCCGAAACGACCGAGCGCCGCCGGCTACGCACATACGTGCGACTCATGCCGGCGACACTACCTCTCTTTCTCCTCCGTTCCCCGCTCTCGCTCCATCCCTCCAATGCCAGGCATCTCCGCCGATCAGGAATCAAACCTGCAACAAAGCCACATCGTGCGTCGATACTCGGTTTTCATCAACCGAGACCGATGTGGCAGCGGCTCAGGAGAAGGCACGCGGAAGAGAGAGAGAGAGGCGAACAGGGCGATCGAACTCAACGATCGATTCGCCCGTCACACCAATAAAAATACTCTCTTTCAGTTTTGCATCATCTATGCGAGGAAATAATTATATGTAATGATATAATCGAAACATTTCCCTTCAATAATCAGTGTTTTTGCTAATTACTTCGTTAAATCAAGTTTAATATAAAATGGTGGTAATAAAACACTTTTCTTATCAACAAGACTTTTATTATCTACATTACTTTTTCCAACTTTCTATTCCGATCTAACTGGTCATTTTTCGTTATCTAGTGTTTATCTCTTGCTCGACTTTCCCAAAGACAAACAAAGCAAAGGTTTCTGGTTTCATGATTGTAAACCGAGTACCAGATTTACCATCTTAAAATCACCAACAATTAATTATTTATGGGTGTTGTATTTTAGATTTAAAAAATGAAATTGTGACGAGAGCAGGCCGTTTGCCCGTCTCTCGTCCGCGTTTCTCCCTCCCCCACTCGGCTAAGCGTGGTGGCCAACGTTGGGCGCATTTAAGTATGCGCCTAACACTTGGTCTTTTGTTTCAGCGCTAAGGACGAGCCAGCGTAGTTGAGCGCAAGAAAAGTTGAAGAGCGCGGAGAGAGAGTGAGAGAAAGAGAGAGAGAGAAAGAGAGCATTAGGCCTATGCAGGGATTGGCAGGCGCGCAACGCGTGACCGATAAGCGACGCGTCGCGTGCCGCCTAACTAATAGGTCAAGGTAGGGAGAGGAGCGAGCGCCGCAGAGCGACTGCAAGAATGCGCGCAAGAATTAGTGCGTGAGAGAGTCGCAGCCGAGCCTTACGAGAGTGAGGGAGTCTAAGCCTAGTCTTGCTAGAGTGCGGAAGTCCGAGCGCAGCAGAGAGAGCAGTTTGGGATAGCCGGAAGGAAGGACGGTTAACCCTACCGGCAACGGCTTTGCCAGC